GGCTGAACTGGCTGCCCTCAGGGTCCTGAGCAGGACAGTCAAACCCCTTGTCTGAGGAGGTGGAGTCGAAAGCCTGAGCAGCCAGCAAGTGGAGAGGAAGCCTGGGGAGGGCGGGGTGGCAACCTGAGAGGCCGTGTAGGTATCATGGAAATGAGGGGCCCCCTGCCTGCCAGTCTAGACAGCCTGGGCCATCAACGAGACCCCACATGGGGACTCCTATGTATACTGCCACTGCACATTCCATAATGGGCTCTTTGTCTGCCAGGTTCTGAGTACCTCCTCCTCCACGTGTTCCCCGCCCGCAGGTCCTGTGCACACACACAGGGGCATATGCACTGTGGTACACAGGAGGGGCTCACAAGCCACTAGATGCCCCCAGAAGCCCGGCATCTCTAACCTCTTGTTCCTCCCCGCTCCCACTTCCACACCAGCACCTTGTTCTTCACCTTGACAGCAGAGCTGCCTCCACCCATTGTCTACCCATCTGGCTCCACTGGGACCTCTGACCCCTGACCCCCAGGCCCCATGCCAGCTGCTCTGCCTTCCTGCTTAGGATGAGGGTGGGGGTGGGGATAGGCTCTGGGTCAGCCTGGCTGCTGAAAGGCTGCCCCCCACCCAGTCATTCCCAGCCCAGACAGGCCCTCCCAGCTGCGGTGTGGGGTCCCAGGGATAAGGATGAGAAAGAGGCAGGGCCCCAGGTTGGAGGTGGGAGGAGACGACTCCCTGCTGGGCTTCAAAGTCAGACTGGAGGCCTCTTCAGCCCCCGAGAAGGCCTCAGGACACTTGGCAGGAGGAACACTTAGCCACCTGCTGAAGGGCCCCAGGTGCAGACAGACAGAAGGAGACAGACCCACAGCAGCCTTTCACCAAAGGGCAGCCCCAGACTTGGAGGGGACAGGCGGACGGACATAGGGGAGATCAGGTGGCAAGGGTCAGACACACACAGGCAACCCCAGACAGCCAGGGGTGGGCGCACACAGCAGGGCTGGGGACCCAGACTAATACCAGCCTCTGAGGGGGCACAGTCAGACCCAGGCGGGAGGACCCAGACAGACAGCAAGGGCGGGAAGCCTATACCCACCACGACAGACAAAGAGAGACAGTCAGATCCCAGGTTCTGTCCGGACAGACCCTCCCCCATAGGGTGGGGCTGGGGGCTGCGGGCACCTCTCTTTGATCCCAAGGCCCATCCTCTGGCCCCAGCCCTGCCTTCCTGAGCTGGGAGACCCCTTACTAGGACCTACCTCCTCGGTAGGTCAAAGTCAAAGCCTTCAGGGAAAGGAGCGGTGGTGTCCTGGGAAGCCCCCTCTCCCACCCCCACCGCACTCTGGCCAGTGCCTCTCCAAGATGACCTGGCATTCTGACCTCTTGGTCATTAAGAACCACTGAGAGAGTTCTGGTCCAAACTCTCAGAACCTCACCTTCCTCATTGATAAAATGGGCATCCTAATAACAGGGCGATGTATGTAAAGCATCATTATTAAAATTACTGTTATCGTTGTTGTTATTACCCCTGCCCTCCTAAGCTACCCTCCTCTCCCAGCATTCTCCTTGTTAGGACCACTGCCCTCACTGCAGATGATCCCCTCCCAACACGCACCCCAAGAAAGGCCTGGATACCCTGTGCCTGAATGGGGCAGGGCTCTGCAGGGCGGGTGGATGGTCCTTGGGACAGGAGGCTCCGCTCGGAGCTCCAGACAGGGGTGGGGACCGGGCTGGTCCCGGGTGGGCGAGAGGGCGGGCTCTGGGGAATGCGATCCAGGTGCGGGGCGCGTCTTACGGGAGTCGGGCTCCTAGGGGGTCCCCGGCGGACCTCAGCGGAGATCCCTGGGAACGACCTGGGGGACGCGGTCTCTGGGGGTCTGGGCAGGAGGGTTTTAGAGGCCTTAGAGTGCGGGGGCTCCCAGAGACAGCTGTAGGTGGGAGGCCCGCGGAGGTGGGCTCAGAGGTCGAGGCCCTGGGGCGGGCCTTAGAGGAGCTGGGTGGGCTCTTGGAGGACGGGCTTAGGAGGCGTGTTTTATGGAGATTGAGTTTGGGGACGGGCTACTTGGGAGTCTATCTGGGCGGGCTCCTCTAGAGGGAGGGTCCTAGGGATGTGCGATTTGTGGGTGGGCTCCGAGGGGGCGGGCCTTGGGGGGGTGGGACTGGAGTCGGTGGCTTGCGAGGGGCAGGTCTCTGGAGGCTGGCTCTAGGTGGGGATCTCGAGGGTGGGTCTCTGAGGGCGCTGCTTCTGGCCACCTCCGAGGAAGGTTATTTTTGGGTTCACTCAAGCTCAGCACACCCGGGGCCTCTGGTTTGTCTTAGTATAACGGCAAGGGGTTCATCCTTTGGGGCTCGATATTGCCCTCAGTGAAATGGAAGGGGACTGGAAATTTGAAGTCCCCTCCCAGGCCGTTCTCGGGGTTGGGGGAGGGGAGGTCCCAGACCTCCCAGACCCAGGGAGGTGGGGAGCTGCCTCCCCTGAGACTGCCCGTGGGGGCGGGCGGCTAACTCTGCAGCGGCCCCTGGAGGGAGGGACTGGGGACCGGGTTTGAGGGTGAAGAAATGGGGAAGGGCATTAACGGGGCAACCCTCGTGTGGTTATGCGCTTGGGCGCCGGTCTGATCCCGACAATGGACTGAGTTCAGAAGCCCGGGACCCTCTGCGATCCTCTAGCTTCGCCCTTGTCCAAACGGCAGGTGGACCCACAGCTGGGGCCAGGCAGCGGCCACACCTCGGGGCTCGAATTTGCAAAGTGCAGACTCTGACAACCCATCCCCCCACCCCCCGCCCCGCCGTGGGTTGTTGTGATTCGTAAACCATTGTGTCCGGAACACGGTGAGGCTCACTGAAGGTATTACATTGTATTAAAATGACTTGTTTATCTCTCTGTTGCATCCATGCCCCCGGGGCCAGAACCACTTGGCCGCCCGACCTCTTGGAGCCACTGGGAATCCCTCCTCTGCCTCTTGCTAAGAGTGCCCTCTGGCCTGTGTCCCAAACTGACAATTGGGGAAAATATGCACTTTTGAGGGCCCTTTAGAGGATGCTTTGAATAAATGGGTTCGAAGCCCAGAGCCCACTGCTGCTATATTTGCATAGCAAAGGTGACAGAAGTATCTGCTGTTATTATTACTTAGATTTATCTCCTTTTTCCGTGTCCTGGAGCAGAGAGTTGGCACCTGCTAACTGTTCCCTGACTTAATAGATCCTCTAAGTCTCCCATTCCCTTCCCCTCTCCTCCCTCACCCTACCCGCTTCCCTGACCCCCACCCAACCTGCACTCCCCGCCCCCCAAGGAGTTGCCAAGGGTTTGGGGGAACATTCAACCTGTCGGTGAGTTTGGGCAGCTCAGGCAAACCATCGACCGTTGAGTGGACCCCGAGGCCTGGAACTGCCGTCCACCCCCCACCTTTCAGATTTGGGGCAGGGGCAGGGGCAGGGGATCCCAAACACGTCCCCTCCCTTAGGTCACAGCAAAGGTCACAATCAACATTCCTTAGGCCACAGCAAAGGTCACAATCAACATTCATTGTTGTCGGTGGGTTGTGACAGAGACCAGACCCACCGAGGGATGAATGTCACTGTGGCTGGGCCAGACACAGCCTCGGGTGAATGGGATGGGGGACACAACCCACCCCGGACTCCCCCCCCATCTCCCAAGACTGCTCAGCCAGCACCTGACCCTGACCCTGGCTTCTTACCCCTCAAGGGGGGCTGGTGTCTGGGATCCTTACAGACTCAGGCTGGATTTGGGGGAACCAGTCCTGGAGGGCTGTGGACAGGAATTACAAGCTTAGGACTGGGCAGCTGAAAAAGATTTCTGAAAGGGATTAGGGAGCCCTGCTTCCAGAAGGCTCAGTGAAGCTTTCTTGAATGAGTGAATGAATGAGGTGTGCAGGCAGCATGTCACCTCATGTCCGAGTTACAGTCTCGGGCCCTGCTTTCTCGCCCTCCTTACCTGGTACCTGCAGACCCCTCCTTCACCTTCAGTTGCCCACCTAGCACCTTGATGCCCGTTGATCACCTGCCAGTCTGTGTCCCACCTGGGTGACTCAGGGGCACACCGCATCCTCCTGAGATGGGGGCTCAGGTCTCATTTGAGAGGGGGATCAAGATGCTGGCGAATGCTAGGGGTTTCCCCACTGCCCCCATTAGCCCCACCTGCGGGTGTGCTCTCTTCTTCCCCATAATTCTCAGTCTCAAACCCTTTTCCACCCCAGGACCAGGAGAGACTGACTCCACAACACCTAATGCACCCGTAACTGGTGAGGGAGGCAGGCTTTGTGTTTGTTTTTGTGAATAACCCCAGGGCAGGTGGCTTCAAACCCCAGTTTCTCAGTTTAGAGGAGGTTCCACTGACAAGGGGTGGGAAAGCTCCCTGAGGGTGACCAGAGCTAGGGACCTTGGTCCTTGACCCCCCCCACCCCATAAGTCAGGCCCATCCTCCTTCCAAAGACAGCTGGAACATCGGTGGCTCCCCCTCCCCCCTCCCCAAAGAGCCCAAGGGTACCCGGCCCCTCCCCCAGTCCAGGAGAAGGAAGAAAGAAGTTACTAAGTTACTGGCTACAGCAATGCTAGTCTTTGGGGTGGGGCTTCCAGTGCCCCCACCTGCATCACTCTGGCGCTCCAGGAGGGATAGGCAAGGGTGGCCCTCTCAATGCCCTCTGGGGGGGGGGTGTGTGGCTGCTTATTGCTGGTGCCCCCCCCCCCCGCAGCCTGTGTCTTGTCACCCCCCCCTCACCCCTAGGCCACCCAGAGGCCATGCAGCCCCGGGGCAGCTGCATTTCTGGGGGAGCTGCAGCAAGCCCCCCCCACCCCCCGTGACAACAGGGAACCTCCTACAGTCTGCTCCTCCCTCTTCACACCCCCTTGGAGGTATAAGGAGGGAACTGACAGCCCAGACTCCTCGGCTCCAGAGAGGGGAAGGGAAGGGCGAGGAGGCTGGGGTAGAGAGACCAGCTTGGGGGTGGCTGGGTTTCTCCTCTCTTTCTCCTCCACCTGGCACACGGGGCCCAGCCATGGGGACCTTCAACCTGTGGACAGACTACTTGGGTTTGGCACGCCTGGTGGGGGCTCAGCGTGGGGAGGAGGAGCCGGAGACCAGGCTGGACCGCCAGCCAGAACCAGTGCCAGAAGCGGGGGGTCAGCGACCCAGTCCTGAATCCTCACCCGCTCCCGAACGCCTGTGCTCTTTCTGCAAACACAACGGAGAGTCCCGGGCCATCTACCAGTCCCACGTGCTCAAGGATGAAGCAGGCCGGGTGCTGTGCCCCATCCTCCGCGACTACGTGTGCCCCCAGTGCGGTGCCACCCGCGAGCGCGCCCACACCCGCCGCTTCTGCCCGCTCACCGGCCAGGGCTACACCTCCGTCTACAGCTACACCACCCGGAACTCGGCTGGCAAGAAGCTGGTCCGCTCGGACAAGGCGAGGATGCAGGACCCTGGACACGGACAGCGTCGAGGAGGAGGCGGCGGCGGTGGCGGCAGCGGAGGTGCCTGTGCAGGTGGCTGGGGGGACTCGCTGCAGACGGGGGTCTGCCCTGGGCTGACTCAGAGCCTCTGAGAAGTGGGTTAACCCCTTGGCTGACCCACTTCAGAGGGTTGGGCGGGGGAGAGAATCCATACATAATAGAAAGCATAGAACCGTGTTCTAGAACTGTCGCCCCAGTGGGTATGCTGGGGCTGGAGTTCCCTGTGTGGCCTTGGGCAAGACACTCTCCTTCTCTGGGCCCATAGAGGGAACATTTTTTTCAGGTGCAGGGTGATCTAGCAGGGAGGCCGTGGGGACTAGTGATGGGGTCTGGCAACAGGTACAGCAGGGGCTGCAATCCTGTGCAGATATGTAGGCGCCATGTGACCAGATGGAAACAGCCTCATTTGTCCACTCATTCGCCAGGTAGTTTGTGAGGCTTGTCCTGTGCCAAGCACTGGGCTGGGCTTGGCCCTCAGTGGTAGATGAGAGAGTGACAGTTATAACAGGAACGGGGGAGTCTAAAGGGGGCACCAGAGCTAGACAAAGCGGTCCAGGAGGGCTTCCTGGAGGAAGTGACTCCTGGAAGCCTCATTCAGTTTGGTGAAGTGCTGAAGGGGCCCTGGGCACTGGGGCTTGTTAGGGAACTTGGTCGAATTCCCTGCATCTGGGATGGGAGTATGCGTGCATGTAGGGTGGAGGGGAAGGTGTCAGAAATTTCAGGGAAGGGCTCCTTGCTGATCACCTTGAAGAGTTTGGACTTGGGTACTAGGGAGCTGAGAAAGGGACAAGAGCAGGTCTGTGTATTAAGCGTGTATTAAGACTGTGCATGTGTTAGACCATGGCTAATGGGTTGGGCTGTGGGGGTGGATTTGAGGGGGTTGGAACAAGCTGGTCCTCCAGCCAGAGGTGTTCGAGTCCATGTTAGTTTGGAGGGAAAGAACCATGAGTTTGCTGTGTGTGGGTCACCCCGGGGAGGGTAGCTGGAATCTCCCTAAGGTCTGCACAGCTACATAGGGTCCCCTCCATCTTGCTCATCAAATTCGGATTCCAGTTTTGCAGGTCTGCGTGAGGCCGAAGCATCTGTACTTCTAACTAGCTCCCCTTGACCTCCGTAGCTGGCAGGCTTTGAGTGGCTAGGCTTCAATATCCCCAGTTACTATTACAGACTCGAAAGACTTCCGCTTCTGCAGATTTTTAAAAAAGAAATCCGTTTTAGCAAGTCAGCCAACAGAGGGACCGGTTTGACGGAGCGGTACCCCAGTACTGCCTCTCTCATCAGACTGGGGGCGGCCCCTCGGGAAGTCACCAGAATAGAGGACCCCTTCCCATCCCGGCAGCTGTTCAGGGAACACATGTTAGAAGGGTTGTTAGACTGCCTGCGGGAGAGTATAGCATTCCTGCGAGGTCCGACTGGGAGAGGGAGGAAGCGGAAGGGACACCGAGACGATGGTCTCAGAATCTTCCATTTTCTCCTTAAGCCCGAGGGAACAGGAAAGCTTGACTCCGTGGGGGTGGGATGGGGTCGGGAAGCCCTCACCACGATATTAGCACGGAAAGGCTGCCTGAGGCTGTCCTCTCAGGAAACTTTCTGAGCGTAACCAATCCGGGGTTCCCGGAGGCCTGCGGCCGCGAGGGGGCAGCACGGCAGGACGGAGTTGGGAGTTTCCGTTGCTTTGTGTCTGGCTCTGGGTCCCACCTGGGACTGCCCCGGGCTGGGAATAGCACAGGGGTGCTAGTCCAGAATGAGCCTGCAGGTGGCGCCAGAGCCCCGGCAGCTCTGCAGGTTGAGTCGGAACTTCCGGATCATCGAATCATCCCTATTACTAATGTTTTTCTCCTCCCCCAACTCTGCTTTTAAAATCTAGGTTCCAAAGGTGCCGGGAAGTCTTCTGGAACTCCTCCCTCTTTCTGCTGCCCCTCTACTTCTGCCTAAGGAGACTGGCGCAAGCAGGATGACGCCTTCACCTGGGGATGGGGACCCAGGCTCAGTGGAGGCTGGGTTTCAAGGAAGACCCACCCTCCGAGGATCCGCCCCTAGACAGTGCCTCCAGTCTGGGGGCTTGGCAAAAGACCCGGGTCTGGGACCACCGCCCTAAGCGCGCCCGCCCCCGTCACCGAAGGGGGTGGTCCTCATGCACCCCTGCCCTTCTTCCCCAGCGCTGGGCACCCAGTCAGCACTCAGTAAATGTTTATGAATGGATCAGCGTCACACGAAGCCCGATCTTGGGACAAGGTATCTCGTGAACTGCGCCGCTGGGGCTGTCGCGTCCCTCAACCTCCACATGTTAATTCTGATCTCCGCTTTCCACAACTGCTATTTGGATTTCTGTTCGCCCTGGGGCGCTGGGGTGAGGTGCTTTGGGCCGAGAAATGGCAGCTGTGGGGTTCTGGGGGCATAGCCCCAGCCCGGCACTTCTGAGCAGAGCATACATTTGCAGCCGAGTTAGTACCATGAATCTTGTTTCCATGACTTTGTGTTTGCAAACTTTTCTGGCCACCTCTTGCATATTGATAGGTCAGATGAGTAGAATCCACCACACTGGAGGTGGGGTCCTGATTTGAGGGAGCAATGGAGAAACAATTAGAGGTTCCCCCCATCACTGTCCTTACCTCAGACACCCTCAGTGAATGTTTAGGTTACCATCGATGCCCCAGAAACTGGGGGCCAGAGTCACATGCTAGGCCCTTCAGAGCAAGGGAAGGACTTCTGGGTTGGGCAGGGCTGAGGGCCATAAGGAATGGGAATACGTCCTGGTCGGTTGTGCCAGACAAGGCCTTGGGCAAGGGGCACTGTGGAGGCTGTACGTGGTCAGGAGTGGGAGGGGACAGAGGTCCATCCCCACCCAGGGAGTGTGATCTGGTTCTCCGGGGGGCTTTGCTTGGGGGGATCCCCAGCCCGTCTGCCTCCTCCACCCCCAGATCTTGTTCCACCAGCCTCCGGGGCAGCAGGTGAGAAGTGCCAGTCCACATTCCTTCCCCAGTCTGAGGGCTGGCCTGAGCCTGGTCTCCACCCCAGCCTGTGAGGTCTCCTGGGGTTGTCAGGGCAGGATTTGGACTTCCTAGAATGTGCCTTTGGCTTTTCCACTTGATCTGGGACCTGAGGAGGGCTGCGGTGAGCCGGGGATCAGACAGCCTACCGCCCAGGCTTGGAGAGAAAAGGGAAGGAGGAGAAAGAAGACATGAGGGAGGCCTCCTTAGCAGCGCCAAGAGTTTCACACGGGGTCAGGGGACACAGTACCCCAGCCACTTTCAGCTACCTACAGATGCTAACTGTATAAGCCAGAGCCACTGGGGCTTGAGACCCAGGGAATGGGGTGACTGGGCACATTCTGGGGGGTTCAAGGAAGGGGCTGTACATTCAGCAGGGAGAAAGGGCTGGGGGACTCAGCCACCTGAATGGGATGTCCCAGGTATAAGAAGGTGGTGGGAGGAGGGCCCTCCCGGCCTTGGCCATAGGTGTTAGGGTGCAGGAGCCACAGGCAGAGCAACAAATTAGTCTTGGGTCTGGTCCACCTAGTGGTGACCTATTTAACAGAAGCAATGTCTTCTGCAAAACGGGTTTGACAGCAGCACTTGGGACTGCTAGTGACCATGTGACCTCACTGGGGCTGTGGTGAGGCTTGGTGGGGCAGGGTGTGCGCACGCTTGTCCTCGGCACCCTCCAGGCATTAGCTGTGTCTGCATCAGTAATAATTCCCACCCAGTGTTGCCTCCTAGACCGGGCTTCTCAGCAGTCTCAGCACTGAACTCCAGCTTGGACAGTCAAGATGTCTCAGTGGGCTCACTGGTCCACAGATACCTGTGTGCTGGGATCTGTACGCGTGCACATCTCTGCACATATCCACCTGCTCCAGGAGAGTCTGACACTTGGTAACGCATGGGGACCCCTGGACTCCATCTAGGAGTGGGGGCCCCCAGCAATACACCAACTTGTCTTCGCAAGGAGCATGAGAAGCAGAAGGAGAAAGAGGTGGTTAGGGAGGTTTGTGGGCAGGCCATCACAGAACTGAAAATGCCTCCAACCCCAAACAACAGGTCACACAGTCTGAGGTCTAGCTAGGACATCATTTATTTATGGGCTTCCCAGAAGAAATGGAAATCCAGTGAAAAACAAGGGTATGACCAACAAAGGGAGCCCTTTTCTCCTCCAGGAAAGAAACAAATTCTGAACCTTTGGTAACCTCAGCTAAGGAGCTGAAATTTGCAAACTCAGATAAACATCTGGGCGGCCCTGGGCCCCTGGCTCAGAAGCAGCTGGCTTCCTGGGGCCCCAGAAGGCCTGCCACAGGGAGGAGCAGGTCCCCGCCCCACACAGCTCCTAGGGGAGGCTGCTGACAGAGGCAGGGCCTCTTGTGTTTCCCGTGGGAAGCTGACTTCCGGGTCAGCTGAGGGAAGGTTTCTGGGGCCCCCAGGACCTGCATGTCAGAAAGTCAAGATAGCGGGGTGGGGGGAGCTGTCAGGGTCTGCAGAGGGATTGTTCCCCACTGTTCGGCAGGACATTTCTGGGGACCAGTGAGCTTGCAGGAACACACAGCACAAGCCCAGGCAGTTTGGAACTGGCTACAGATCCCTCCAGGACTGCTCCCCTCGGGGGAGGGTCCCCACCCCCTTTGCGGTGTAGGGAGTGGGGGCCTTCCCGGCTGGCTTTGCTTTCCGGTAGTAGCTGACGCGCTTGAAGGACTCCAGATCCCGGTGGGCACTCATAATCAGCCGGCTGGGTGGAAACAGGCCTGGGCTGTGTCCCACCTCACACTCAGGCACACTGGCCTGCTCACATCGGCTCGCTCACTCATGGGTACTTGGGTCACACCCACATAAGCACACACGTGTGCACAGTCCGCATCAACCTGCTGCAGGCAGACTGTGACCCTTCTAGCCCTGCCTCAACCTGACAGCTCTGTGAAGGAGACGCTTCCCAGATGCCCCTCACCGGGGGGCTGGGCCCAACCTGGCGCCCCCGGATCACTGGTGCACCGGGCCTTCCATCACCCGCCCCTGGCCCCATCCCCTCTGCCTGCCCCAGGGACTGTGGGTCTGCAGGGCCCATTCCAGCCCTTACTTCAGGTTGGAGAGCTCCATGACCAGGCCGCGCACAGTGTCTGTCGCATCTTCCATGCTGGCAGCTTCACAGCTCTTGATCCCCACTCGTGTCCTGGAGGGACGGGAGGCAGGACGAGAGGCCTGAGCTCACAAGAGCCTCGCCAGCCTCCACGGGGGGGGGGGGGTCTGCTGAGCCTTGAGCTGTCTATTCCAGAGAGGAACACCTTTGACAGCAATGATGCCCCCTCCCACCAGGCAGGGCCCTGAAGGCCAACCCAGCGGCTCTACCACTGAAAGCACACCCAGAATCCACACCCTTCCCCCACCAGGTGGTCCTGTCGAGCAGCTGCCACACTCTCCTCCTCCCCCACCTCCTGCCTTTATACCCTGTGCCCCCAAGTGACTTTGGGGGGCTGTGGAAATGGAAACCCAGCCCAAGTCTCTCCCCGCAGCCCTACACCATCCGCCATGCCTCCAGACCCACCCCGCTCCCTCTTGTCCCTCTTCCCCCTGTTCCAGCCACACCGAATTCCTGGCCATGCCCTTAGCACTTCTCAGGGCTCTGGAATGTTCTTTCCAGAATGTCTCCTCTGTGGGGGTGGGGGAGGGAGAAAATGGGAGGGGAACCCTCCCTCTCCCTCCCCATCCACCACAGGTTAAAACTTTAACCCCTTCCCTGCTGTCTGCCATCTGACCAGCTAATAATCTGTCGCTCACCACCACCCCCCCAGCTCCCACCCAACTAGGGAGAAGCTCTGTGTTTCTCCCCAGTGCCCACAGCAGGTCCTGGAAGAGCTGGCATTAGAGGGCATCAGTGCCTATAGAAGGGGTAGGCGTGCCGGGGCACCACCATATCGAAAACATATAGCCTGTGAGGGGGCAGAGGATCATACAGCTTAGCAGATCTCCTGGGCTGTCACTAGAGGAACTGTGGTTCTGTTCCACCTGCTTTAGTCACCGAGATGACTGGTCAGCCTGGGCCTCCGTCTCTTGCCTTTTCTCTCTTGGCCAAGGGCCACAGAACCAGACCCCAGGACCCACCTGGGGGCTTCCAGCCATCCACGTGGGGTTGCATCGAGACCGTCAGAGATTCACCCACGAATCTCTCTCTTCTTTGCTCAAACAATAGTAGGGGACTTCTCTGGTGGTACAGAGGCTAAGAATCTGCCTGTCAGTGCAGGGGACATGGGTTGGATCCCTGGTCTGGGAAGATTCCACATGCTGCGGAGCCACTAAGCCCGTGTTTAGAGCCTGTGCTCAGCAATGAGAGAGGCCGCCACGGTGAGAAGCCTGTGTACTGCAATAAAGAGGAGCCCCTTCTCTCTGCAACTAGAGAAAATCTGTGAGCAGCAGGGACCCAGCACCACAAAAACAAATGTTAAAAAAAGCAATAGTGGGGCCACGTTGATTAAACTGCCTCTGGTCCCCATGCAGGGAGTGGGTATGTGTGTCTGTCACGGGAGCAACGTGTGGTACAACAGGTACGATACACAGATGTGTGCAGGGGCAGGGGGTGGGAGCACAGCCTCCCTCCTCCCTGAGAAGGAGGAGCAGGAGGAAGAGAAAGGAGACAAATTCCACCAAGGATTGCATCCCTCATCTCTCCTCCACACCTGCCAGACAGAAACAGAAACTTGGCCATAAATAATCAATCGCCCACCGCTCTGCAGTTTAAGTACAAGGTAACAGGAGAGGACTGTCGCCCAGTGCTGGCGGTCAGCAAGGCTGGGAGAAAGGACATGAAAGGAGGTGATGGACTGTGAGAGGGAAGCTCTGGGGCGGGGGGAGAGGACCCTCCCAACACACACACACCTCCATGAGGTGGAGGAACAACACACCTGCTGCCTCTAGGAGGGAGAGAAGGGGGGCTGCCTTGGGGAACAGAACCAAGCA